GGGTTGGCCTGCCGCCTGGAGGTCAGAAAAGATCTTCATGGTGGACACGGGAGGTACAGCTGGCAATTAAAGAGAAGAAAGCAGAGTTCAAAGAATGGCTTGGAAACAAAGAGCCTTCTACTCGCGTGCGATATGTCGAGGCACGCAAGGCGGCAGCCAAAGCAGTGGCGAAAGCCAAAGCTGATTCCTGGGAGAAGTTCGGTGAGGGTTGGAGTCGAATTTCCAGACGGCAAGCAAGGTTTGTGTTCTGGCAGACCATTCGCCGGCTGCGAAGTATAAAGAAGGGCAGTCTAAGAGCTCTGATGGATTAGTCTGGCGACCCTCTTAATGAGAATGAAGTCAAACTTTGGCGATGCGGAGAACTTTGAGAAACTCCTAAGCTCTAAGCAACCTTGTGAAGCTTAGCCATTAAAACTTGCTGAAAAACGATGAAGCTGCTGAAATCAATGAAATCCGCCAAGAAATGTTTAAAACTTAGGGGGAAAGGCATATAGTGGATGACGCATACCTGTCAAACTGCAATGGCTACGGGAAAGACACCAGTGGATAGCGTGGCTTATGGTACTCCTCTTGAAGAAGACAAACCATTAAAAATGCTCCAATTAACAGACATTTTTTTTTGCCTCCAGGGAAAATTCTACACAAAAGTGCTAGAGAGTAGGTGCGGCGAAATAACTGAATGTGTAATACAAGAATATATCATGGGAGTTCGCCCATGCGGTTTACACGTGATTTATGAACCTGGAGAAGGCGTATGGCCGGATCTCGTGCAACAAACTACGGGCGTGCCGGCAAACATATGGGCTCGAAGGCAAGCTACTACAAGCCATTCAGTCACTACGTGATGATGGCACCTGCTACGTCAGAGTAAGTGGCGACCTTCCATTTTCGACACTGATCTACGCCAAGGTTGTGTTTTGTCCCCTCCCCTGTTTGTGCATGGATGGAATAGTCAGGAGCAGTCAAGGCGATGAGTGTATTAACGTAAGAAATGTCGAGACGAGGAAAAGGCTGTTTTTAGACTACCCTGTTTTGTTGGCGTATTCTGAAACCGATCTGTAGCGTTTTCCTCAAAGAATCGTAGCCCAACATCTGACGTGGCAGACATGCGTGTGCACGTATTTAGAACGTGTTTTC